CAATAGCTAGAAATGTCTTCAAAAGAAGCACAGGGCTGGGGGATTTCCTGTCCTTGATTTAAGCAGACTGAAGTTACAGCAGAGAAGCCAGTCCCAGGCCTGGCAGAGCGGCCGGGCGGCCGAAGAGGGCCCAAGTCGGATGAAGCAGATGGAGGGAGGGCGGCCACAGCGGGCCGGGCATGTGGCCTCTGCTCTGGGAGAGAAATGGAGCTGACTCTAACAGCCAAATAAAGCCGGGATGAATCGGGTGCTGTAAAAGCTTAATTTTATAAAGATCAGGAATAAATGCATGTTCCTGATATTTACAGAATCAGAAGGTGGGGAGAATCTTGTAAACACAATACAAAACCCAAAAACTGAAACTATGAAAAGAAGCTTACAAATTTTACTATAAAAACCCTGGGGAGGCTGTGTGCGGCTCCGGGAGAGCACTTGCCAGGGCACCGGGCTCCGTCCCCAGCACAATAACAACAACAATTTTTTAATTTTAAAACTTCTGACAGGACAAGAAAGCCTTGACAGAGCTGAAGTACAAACCGTAAAAAAAACATTTCTAGTCCACGGGACAAGCAAAGCATTCAGGGTCCCAGCCGCCACCAGGCGTGGTCTCCCTGCCCTAGCCCCCAATCCTGCAGTTCCCTCCCCACCCGCTCTTGCCTCTTCTTGCTGCAATCCCACTCAGTAGCAAACAAAATGCAAACATAGTTTTCCAAATGAAAATAAATAAAGGAAAACAATTTTCTAAAACACCATCTTCTCAGGGCCAGGCATGGTGGTGCATGCTTGTAATTCCCACACTCAGAAGGCTGAGGCAGGAGGATCTCTCCAAATTCAAAACCAGCCTGAGCTACATAGTGAGTTGAAGGCCAGTCTGAACTACACAGTGAGACTGTCTCAAAAAAACAAAACACATCATAGAAACAACCTCCTGACCTTTGCCAGGCTGTCCGGCCAGCGATTCCCTCAGCCCCTCCTCCTTCTTCGGAGGATGCCCAGCCCTGGCCTCTGTGATCTTGCCCTGCCCCAGGCCTCAGCCCCTTCCACTAACCCATCCAGAGAGAACCGCACTTCATAGGGAGAGGTTTCCAGGCTTTTTCTGCAGATACCAAATACACCAAAATGCTTTTACAACTTCTCAAAGTCACCTCTGGGTGGTGAGCTGACAGCTGACTTTTCTCTTCTTTCTGAGTCTCAGCACCGTCTGAAGCTTTGAGAAACCACAGCTGCTTTCACTGTAGCCAGAGCCTCACCTCCGCCTCTAGGAGACCCAGACCCAGCTCTGCTGTGTCAGAGGGAGGCGCCAGGTGAACAGGGAGAAAGGGAAACCGGAAGTCGCAGCACTGGTGCAGCTCCTGGGGCTCTGAGCACCTCCTGAGCTTTGGCAGACACCTCAGCGCCTCCCCACCTCCTCCGCCAGCCATCGGAGCCCCTGGGAGCTCTGCCTCGTACCCCAGCGGGGGACCCAGCAATGCCCCCCACCTTCCCCATCCTCCTGGGCAGCTCCTTTCTCATCTTCATCTGAACAGACTTTCCCTTCCACTTATGAGGTGAAGGAAATTCCTGCTTTAAAAGGGAAAACAGAAAGATCCTAAAAGAGGGAAACCCCACAACGCCGCATGTATAAATATCTGTTGGAGCTGGGATTGAACTCAGGGCCTCTGCTGCACCCCCAGCCCTTTTCGTTTTCTGAGACAGATCTCACCAAGCTACCTGAGCAGGACTCATACTTGAGATCCTCCTGCCTCAGCCTCCCAAGTGTTTGGACTACAGGACTGCTCCAACCCACAGGGCCCCAAACCCTAAGTAACTTTTAGAGGCTAAGAATATTTTCAAAGTCAAGACTCATGAAGGCTGAGACACAGGTTCCAATGGCCTCTGACTGGATCTGTAGAACTCCATCCAAGCTAAGCCAGACCTTCCTAGGAGAGGAAAGGACCCGAACCCACGTGCGCATAGCGAGGTCACCTTTGGGACAGCGCTCAGAGTAAACACACTCAAGCATGCTCAGGGACAGCAGGGCATGAAAGGCCAGCAGCCCAGGAGCGGAGAGAAGCAACAGGTGAATGAGAAGCAGAGCAGCTTCAGAATGCATCCTCCCTGTGGGAGCAGGCCGTCAACAGGAGGCTGAGTCAGGACACTCCCTCTCCAGCCGGCCATCACACCCTCTCATCTTCCTGGTTGCCACCAAGTCTAAAGGAAGGCAGAAAGAACGGTGCCAGCCACACCCCGGGCAGCAGGGTGGGCAGCCTCCTTCTGCAGGGTGGGGCGAGAGCCCAGCTCCCGCTGCCCGCCGGCCTCCACCTGAGACACAGTGGGACTTCCTCCAGGGCCTCCGAGCCTAGCGGCTGCATCCTCCTCCCACCCCCTCCAGCCCAGGGCCGCATCCTCCAGGCCCGAGGGGCTTGGACCACAGCTAGGTTGGTGTGGTTCTCCGTCTTGCAGGCTGTTTTCTTCACGAGACAAAACAGGCGACCGGGCAGCAAGGCTCGGAGGCCGCCTTAGGAAATCAGCGCCACGCGGAACACACAGAAGATTCAGACCCCGCCAGGCAGCCCAAACGGAAGTGTGAACGCGATGCCTGGCACTCAGAAGGCGTCCTCAGAAACGCGTGTTTCCCAGGGCCGGCTTCAGAAGTCTGACCTTCTGTGTTCTCGGGGAGGGAAATGACAGTGAGTCTGTCAACTGCCTTTCCTCAAACCTCAACCGAAACACGGGATTCGCCCCCCACGGGCCTTACAAGAAGCTCTGATCCCGAAGGACACGCAGAGGTCAGGCAGGCTGGCGGGAGGGCTCCGAGCAGGAGGCAGAGGCGACGCGCTTCCCACAGGCTGGTTTCCCATGGCCAGGCCAGTCCGTCCCAACCAGCCGGGAGGGAGCTCACAGGGATGTCAGCCCGGGCCGGGGGGGCAGACGGCCTCTTCTCTGAGGGGCGACTTTGCAGAACGCAACCTTCCCAAGGGGAGAAGACAGGGACCAGCACTTGGGTTTGGGGTATGCTCTTGGTCAAGCACGAATCGCATCTTAGTCCTAGGACAGGTGTGGAAATCGGACCTTGTCACGATGTCACTTCTCACCACTGACTTCAGATGAGGTCGAAACCCCGGCTGTAAGTGGAAGCAAAAAGCTCTGCCCGCCTCTTTCCAGGACTGAGCCTGAGCCCAGGGCTCCATACCGAGATGCATCCCCAGCTCCCATTTTTATTAAATTTTGGGTACAGGGACTCACTAAGTCACTAAGCTGCCCAGGCCAGACTGAAATTTGTGATCCTCCTGCCTCAGCCTCCCCAAGGGCTGGGGTCAGGGGTGCCCACTGTCTCCCTCTGGGTCATCAGTATCTTTTCTCACCCCAAAGGCAAGGGCGTCTTTTGCATCGTGACAAAGGAAGGCCAATCAGCATCACAGAATCCCCAGATGGGGCTCCTTGGCAGCCAGACTCCCCACTGGAAGTGCAAACCCCCAGCCGCTTCCTGGGCCTGGAGGACCGAGGCTGCCAGTCATCCCCTTAGGGCTAAAGAGAGGCACACGGGGCATGACGGGCATGAGGCAGAGTGCAGAGTTTGAGGCTGACCAGAATGCCACACCCAGCATGTTTAAAACTGACTCGGCACAGGGCGGAAGTGTAGGCTCCATGCGCACGCCGGGTCTCAGCATAACCCATCCCAGCAGTGGGCACAGCTGGAAGGTTTCAGCAACGCTAACCTAGGGCCGGGTCCTAGAAGCAGACAGAACGGACTCGACTGGTAAGTGGTCCGTTCTCCCCACCCTCCCGCAGAGCTGAGCCAGGCGTGCAGGGCAGCCGCAAGCTCCGAAGAGGACCACAGGAAAAGCCCCATGGGAAGCGGGAAGTAGCTGGCTTAGGTAAAGTCTAGGGGACAAACCCACAGCGTGGGAGAAATGTCAGAAACGTAGACAACTGTAACATTTACATGGGGCTAGATGTGGGAATGGTTGATCCCTGAATAAAGTAGTATTCACGAAATAATTTTTATTTCTGAAATGCTGCCCCAAGATGTAACAAACCAATGAAAACCCCTCTCATTTTTCTTGTGAAGAAACAAATTGAGCAAAACATTTTTCACACTTTGTTCTGCACCCACACAATACGGGTTCTGATTTCCCAGCAAGAGGCGCATGTCACGTGTCTCAAGACCTTTAAAAATATCAAAATTATCTCCATATGAGACACCCAGAGTCACGCTCGCCCAAGATTCCTGATCTGTGCAGTCCGTAATCCACCCAGCCAGCCCTGCCCTCCCTCTTGGAGAAGTGGTCCAGTGGACTCACAGTGCTCACTGTACCGTGCTCTGCCCGCTCATGGACAGAGGTGCTAAATTCTGAGCAGAGAGAGAAAAGAAACAAACCATTCGGGAAGGAAAAGGGGTGCGAGAGAAACTGAGTGAGGAGAAACAGGAGTAAAAGCCTCAGCAGCCCTGTGGCGGAGAGCGGAGCAGTTCGCAGCTGCTTTTAGGTGGATCCGAGAGAGGGAACGGAGATTTGGATGAAGAGGCAGAAGGAGTGGGGCATGGGCGAGGAGAAGGACCCGACACCAGTCCCGGGGGTGGAAGCCCCTGTGGTCCCCGAGGGGTCTGAAAAGCAGGCCAAGATGCAGGCCCAGGACCGAGCCAGCACACGCGGGAGAGGAGGCTGTGCTGGGGCAGAAGAGAGGACAGAAGCAGGAGAGATCCCTGCAGAAACACGGGGGCCAGGCGGGCCTTCAGAGCCTGGCCCCACCCAGGGCAAAGTCAGCTCCGCCGGGGAGATGCGAGATGTACAGGCAGACAGAGAAAAGCAAGCCGCAGTTAGGAAGGAGAGGTTTGGGGGCCGAACAGCTTTCTGTGAAACGCGCACAAGCAAACATGCGCTCTCTGATCTGGCAGCCCCGTGGCCAGTGTGCCCGTGGCGAACATGGGAGGGAACGAGGGTAGGTTTGCCCTCCCTGATTTCCCGTCACCCTAACTCCTGCGTGGTCCCAGAGTCGGCCATCACGCCATTGTCACTCACTTGCTGTGGCCTTCCGTCCATCTCACCGAGCTGGCACTCCCAGCAGCAACTCTAGAAGAGAAGGAGAGGGGATGGGGTCAGAGCAGGCGGAGCTCCGGCATGGCCCAGCAGAACCAGCGGGAGGCAGAAGCTGGCTGCCCACCGAGGGTGCTGAGCAGAGCCTGGGCTCTGCCGCCCCACGTGGGAAGTGGCCGTGGGTCACATGACTCGGGGCTCTGGCTCCTCGGTGAGCAGGGCACAGCCCCCGGACTTCGGGAGGACGGAGAGGCCACGCGAGGGCCCCAGCCAGACTCCTGCGCACTGACGTGGGTCCTTCGCTGCTGTACAGAGCCACCCCTGGCCTCCTTGTCCTCTTGTCTGGGTGCAAAGCCAGCCAGCCCCACCGCTGCCTGGCTCCCGGCTCCACACAGCTCTTGCTGCAAAGTCTGCCTGTGGATGGGGGCATCTCTGGCGAGCCCCACCTCGAGTACAGACCCGGACCCTGGGCTCTGTGCTCACAAAGTGCTGCTCCATGAGCCAGGGCAGCAGTTAGCATCTGCGATCCCACCGCAAACATCGCATCACAGGAGGTGGCAAGGACACAACAGTGCTGAAGAACTCCAAAACACCCGCTGGGGGAAGGGCACAGTGCATTCCCCACCCTCACAGCTCCCCTGTTCCAGACGGAAACTTCCCCTCTCGGGACTGCTGAAGCTTTGCTACTGAACATGACCCACCGGGGCACAGAGGAGGGCATGCTAATGCTTTGGAGCCATGAGCACGCTGTGCCCCTTCGTGAGTGATGAGCGCCTCGAGATGCCTGGGACTGCACTGAGGGCATAAGGAAGCCTTACTCACCCCTTCAAGGTGGCCCCCAGATTCATCTGGTTCCAGGTCATGCATTCGAGCTGGGAGGTCATCTGGTATAAGTTGTCACTGTTGGGAAACATACAGAGTTAGAAATACATAATCACACACTCACACATGCACGCGCGCACACACACACACAAATACAACTGCTTCTTCCATCCAAAGTGCTGGGGATTTCGCTTGTCTTTCCAGAGCAAGCCTGTCCATCTCGCAGACTAACAGAACATGCACATCAGGAAGGGTCTTGGTCTCCACAGCTGTTCCTTTCCCACACAGCAGAAGGGACGGGAGAGCGGTTTGGTGGCTTCATGGAAACCTCAGTCCAGCACTGGCTGGAGTTTCCCAAGAGGGATAAACCTTGCAGGGAAAAGGCTGAGGGAAAGGAGGGTTCCGAAGGCAACACAGGCTGGATAAACTCAACATGAAAGTTAAAAGCTTGGAGCCGAGAGTCCAAAGACAGCAGATTAATTATTCGTGAAGAGGCTATTAAGTTGTTTTAATCAAAAGGATAAGTATCCCGTGGATCACGCGGGCCTGAGCAGTCAGTCACCGGTGATGGATGGCGGAAGGCCTAGGATACGACGGACAAAGGGAAGAGGCGGTGAACCCTGTGCGTGGCAAAGGAATGGTGATCTGCAAGGGTTATAATCTGGCGGCAGTCAGGCAGCACTGTTTTAGAAATCCAAAAAGGAAAGAAAGGCCAGAGGTTCACAATGAGACCCCAAAGAGAAACTACATCGGCAACCATGGAAACCAAACAAAATCTGTTCTCTCTCTTTACAGCCACCTCATTCCTGGAAGCCAAGCACACATAAGCTGTGGTCACAAACTACGGTGAATGCTTAATTTTTTTTCAGGATTTATTATTGTAAAAGACACATTGCTGTGAAGGGCCCTCGAGAGCCTCCCCTCACTTTGCGCACGCTCACCCCTTCATTCTTGACACATCCTGCAGCAGCTCTGGCGTCCTCTTTCCTGAGTGTCTTCAGTCACACTGGCATGGCTGCCTTGATGTCCTGAACTGATTCAAAATGTTGACCTCTCATGGTTATTTGGATTTTGAGGAAGCTGCACCGGGCCAGATCCGCTGAATAAGGTGGATACGGACACAACAACTGCCCTTCTGCTGGATGCTGCTCAGCAGCACTCCTCAGGTTTCTGATCACCTCTCATAAAGACACACAAAGAGGACTTTAAGAACCACTCCAGAAGGAGGAGGGAACAACGGGATACATGTATCCGAAGCAGGAAAGAGTATTCTGAGAGTGCATGGCACTGTGTCTTTCACTACAGAACATTTTTTTCATTAAACACTGGCCATATACAGATTTTGGGCACCCCTTGTGAATCAGTGTCAGAGACTTCCTGCACTGCTAAGACTACTGGGAATGAATACCTTTAGGCTTTCACTGAAAGCATCGACCATGATGTTTTGGGACTCGAGAGATCCATGGCTGCCCTGGGCCTACACGTATTCGAGGGAAAGCTGGCCTACCTTCCCAGCAGGCACACAGGAAGGTAAGAAGCCTCAGCTCACTGGCAGGTGACATCAGATCGCCAATCCTGGGCAGCCTCTGTCTTGTCACAGATTCCTTCCGGTGCTTCATTGGGCAACACTCATTTTTAATTCACAGAGGGTTTTTTCGGGCCAACTGAATGGGGACATGCAGGGCGACAGGGATACCAGGGGCCAGGAATAGATGCACACTGTGCCCGCTCTCCGCGCAGTGTGATAAATCACAGTGGGGTCCTTATGACCCCGAATCATCGTCCTGAGAACTACCCGGAACTCCTCAGAGGCGGATCCGCCGGACGAGGAGGTCAGCTTCCAGGAGGGGCTCCTGCGTCTGAAGGGCGAAGTGACTTCAAACCCCAAGCATGTGCAGCTCCGTGAGCCCGCGTGTACCCGTCCGTCCCTCCCCCGCATGCGGGCCATTCTGCTGCCACAGTATCTACACATCAACGCGAAAAATGATCAGCCTCCTCGGCAGCTTCCCGGTCTGCAGCGGCAGCCGTGCTGGTCGGTGCCACTGTTTCGCAATTCCACGAATTCCTGCTGGAAGGCTGGTGTAATTAATTCCTGAAGGACCCCAACTTTTATTAGAAGAGCCGGCCAGCCGCATTCAGCTCCAGGCAGCTTCCTGAACTTTCCCGGGGCTGACAGTTCATTAATAAGCGGCCCCTCCACGACCTCGCCGCTGGTTTTTGTTCTCCTGCGCCTTTTCATCAAGCAATCCATTTATTAATCTTGCCATTAATCTCAGCCAGCAGGCATTGTATTCCCCAGGTAGCTCTATATTTTTGTCACTGATTTTTAAAAAATTGTTCACCAAGTGAAATCACTCAGCCCCTGCTGACAATCTTCCTAGGACCGGGTAGGAGGTGGGATCTTTCTGAAATTACTTGATTTTTGCCTAAGACTGAGATTATGATGATTTCCCAGACAGCTGGGAGACCAGATGAGTGACAGATGCTTATGTGGAAGTATGGGACCTGGGGATCTAGAACTCCTCAGACTCACAGCGCAGCCCTGCCGGCTCCCAGGGCCTCTCTGAGGAAGCGACCCAAAGACACTCTCCTGGCTATCTCTCCGGCCCTCACAAAGCAGACTTTCCTGATGCAGGCCAGGTCTCCGTCTACACAGCCTCCCAATGGGTGCCCAGGATCTCTAGGCCCTCGAAGTCCAGCCTGGTGCCCCGGCCACATGCAGCTGTCGGGCACTGGAAATTCGGCCTGTGCCACGCGCTGAGGTGACTTTGGTTATACTGGGACAAACACAGTATTTTTAAGTTAATTTCCTCTTGTTTTATTTTGATGTGGCTACTAGCAGATGCCCAACTGCATGTGTGGCTCCTGCTGCGTGTCTACTTCACAGTGTGGGAAGTGGGCAAGGCACAGCTCCGTTATGGTCTGCTGAATGGGAGCGGTAATCTCGGTCAGTCTCACGCCTGGGATGCTGTGAGGCCCCTGCAGCTCTTGGAAGATGACCCAGATGATAAACTTTAGCTCCTCCAGCCCGCCAAACTTCGCACCTCGCCGTCATCACTGGGTTCGGGGCTACAACAATGACCTCTTCAGCAGGCGAGTACGGGGCCCGGAGGGTGCCCACTGCGGACGGCCCTGGTGCTACCAGCGGGCCTGTCCTCTCACTGCCTCAGAATAATGACAGCACCGACCAGATTGGGGCAGCACGGCCAACCCTGACCCCACAGGGCTCAAGGACAGAGCCCTCACCCCGGGCCACTGAGCAGGCCGCATCCTCTCCCAGCTCACACATCCCGGAACCCTTCGGGCCTGAAAGCCTCTAGCAGAGCAGGGCAGCCAGGAGGGGGCTTCCAAAACCTCCCCAAGCCACTGACAGGTTTCCTGGGGGCCGAGACCGCATCAGAGGCCGGTGTCACCCACGTCCCGCCCTCGGCTGGCCGGGGCCCGGCTGGCACAACCTTTCCTCTCGGACAGTGGCCACTGCCAGGAAGCACAGAGCCCAGCCCGTGCGGGAAACCCTGGCCCGGGGCCACCAGCTCTGAGCTCTCGGTGGCTGGGTCCACGTGAGGCTCGCACATGACGCCCACGGAAAAGGGCGGTGCCCCGGGGAAGACGTGGCCAATGGTCACCTGACCACTGTCGGTGCTGGGGGAGACCAGAAAAGGAGGGTCACGTAGGCAGCGGGGCCCCACCCGCCTCTCTCGCCCAGCCGGAAGTGAACTCTGAAATCACAAGCTGCCAAAATAGCTTCCAAATCCACCCTGTCCTTTGTACGTTTTTAAGTAGATCTTTTTAAAAAGTTAAGACTTGTTTCCCATGTAAGACGTGTTTGAAGTTAAAGGTAAGGGAGAGAGGGAAGAAACTTCTGTAACTGGGATTAATGCAAGTTGGAGTGAAATAAAAGGAAGTCAGCCCAAGTGAAAAGGGGAACTTGAAAGGAAATCGGTAGTAGATCATACAGAGTTTGTTTTGGCCTGGATTGCAGTATGACTGAGCTTTCGACCTCTGTACAAAAAGAAAGGAAGAAGAAAACCTCAGCTATTATCTGGACTAGGGCTCCTCCTCCTGCAAGGCCTGTGCCATCCCAGCGCCTGTTCATCTTGGAGTGTGTTCCAAGGGTGTTTACGATGCTACAGGACAGGAAGAGAGCTCCACGTTGCCGCTGGAACAGAATCGTCCCCCCTGGCTGAATGGAGGGCTTCTTCTGCTGTGTGGATGCTTCTGCCTCATGGGTCAGACAAAGTGGAATCTTGGCAGAAGTAAAATCTCCCTGTGAGAGCAAAGCCCCAAAAATGCCAAACTCGAGAACAGCAGGGACGAATGGAATCATCACTGAGACTGTCTCGGGCTCTGCGGCTGACCCGGCCCGGCTCATCCAGGCGCCGGGGACGTCCACACAGACATGTCCCCAGCCCTTCCCTCAGTGGGCACAGCCACTCTCCAGCTATTGTAACTCCGCTCGAGTGCACAGCACCAGAGAAAAGCTCTCCGGGGATTTTATTTCCACTCATAAACACTTGGTCAGCACAAGAGGCACAGGGATATTTGAAACTCGATTCTTCCCCTTCCCTGGAGACAAAATCAAAGCCACCACCCCGGAAACGGAGCCAGGCCCCCGCCTCCTGCCTCCTGCACAACTGAGCAGTAGCACTGCGCGACATGAAGACCGTGCCTGCAGTGCAGGTGGGCACTGTGTAGGGTTTGATTTTTCGAGCTCGAGCTGTCCTGATTAATGTCTGTGTTGAAGCCCAGCCCAGGTGGTGAGCAGCGCGCTGCCCTGCAGCCCCTGAGCTCCCTCGGAGCCCTGGGCCCTGAAGGAAGCTACTGCCCACGCTTTGGGTTGTGCCTCCACCAACGTACAGCGCAAACACTCAGCCACAGTTACTGCTCGCAGAGCTGGGCCAGGCAGGCAGGAGGAAAGACCCTCATTCATTGGTAGCACAGCAACCAGGAAACTGTGCAAGGCTAACTAAAGAGCAAAAAGAAAAGGGGAAGACTCGAATGTCTAAAACTCAGGGATCTACTCTGCCCTAAAGGGTAAACTTGAGTCATTTGTGGGAAAATGGGTGCACCTTGAGACTATGATGTTAACTGAAATAAATCAGACGCACAAGCTTGAACATCACATGGTTTCTCTTATATGAGAAACCCGAAGTATAAATAAATTAAAGACCAAAATAAAAGACAGATAACAGGAAATGGAGATAGGTCTTCTTTTTTTTTTTCTTTTTCTTTTTCTTTTTCAGTACCGGGGATTGAACTTGGGTCCTTATGCTTTCGCAGCAGGCAGTGAAACCACTGAGCTAAATCCCCAGCCCAGAGATAGGTCTTCTGTAAAAGGGAAGGGGGCCAAGACATGAGGGGAGGGGGAAGAAGAGTGGAAGAAAAAGATTAAGATGCGTTAAGTACCGGCACCATCTGCTCACGATGAATGTACCAGACTAGTAAAAGTAAAAACGAAAACAGTGCTAACCAGAAATCCACACCGTGTGCAGCCATTTTCACAGCAGCCGCGAGGCCCTCCCCACACTGGGCAGCAAGGCCCGGGGCTCCCAGGAGGCAAGCGAGCGAGAGGCAGACGGCTTGAGAGGCAGCTGCCAATAGCAATGAGGTGCTCGGGGAGGCTGGACGTGGCTACCCTGCCCCAGGAGATCATGGGGTGGCCCTTGCCTCCACTGTGACCCCGGAAGCAGTCCTTCCTCCAGGATGGGAGCGAGCTCTGCCTGGAATGCTTTGGGTGCCCTGCTGAGCTGTACCAGCCACTCCTGCCCAGTGGAAAAGACGGAGCTGGAGGAGCTGGAGTGTGGAGGCAGCTTCCTCCTGAGCTGGCTCCAGGAGAAAACTCTCCTGCCTCCCACTGCACCACAGGAAAAGGACAGGCCAGGCCCTGCAACCTTCCTGCTAATGGGCTACGGGTAAAGCAGACAGACAGCGGGAGAAACAAAGCCACTGAGCTGCAGCCCCAGACGGACCCCAACTCCAGCAAGGGCCGCAGTCCACAGCCTCACCACCCCAGATGAGCGCCAGGGCGGGCCCTCTGTCTCCTCCTGGGTGGAGGCAGCGATAGCCCTGCTGGCTGCGTCTCGAGGGCTAGGAGGTCCACACATGCCAGGTGCTGACGACGACAGCACAGGCACACATCAGCCCACGTAAGCACCTGCTCTGTATTTATCACCAAGGGCACTGCCGGGGCCGTTCCCGGGGTCATCCGGGGGCCAACACTGATCTGCCGAGATTCAGGGCACAGGTGGGCTTCAAGGCCAGAGACAGAGAATCGAATCCCGGCTCTGGTTCTCACTGGCTATGTGACCTTGAGCAAGTTGCTTCAAGTCCTGAGCTCACTTCCTCATGGGTAAATGAGATTATGGCACCTGCCCCTCAGGGCAGTCAGAGGACTAGGGACAGTGGAGGTGGAAGCTCACACAACCCACTGAGTATGCTGTCCTGACTCCTATGTCCACCACCCATGGTCACAGGGCCCAAAAGGGCCAGCATCCGGTTTCACGACCTTGGGACAAAACTCTCCACCTTCAACATTTAGGGGAGGCTAGGAGGATGGGGGAACCCCCCCACGTGCCCAAGGGGGCATTTTCTATGATTCCGTGCAGCCTGTACCCAAATGCATGCAGCCCTGGACCTGCAGACCTGTTACCTGAGAGAGGGCAGGGGACATGTGGGCGACAAGGGAAGTGCTAGAATTTCACTTTCTTAAGGCAGACTGGTGTGCGACACTGCTTATTTAAATCAGATGTGTTCCGGGTGGGGAAGGGAAACCAGACCCCACTGGGAGGCCAGAGCTTTGTACAGGGAAGGGGTGCTGAGCTGCTATGTCACGGAGTCATAGGCAAGCCTTTCCCAGGAGGTCCCCAAATTTTAGAAAAAGGAATGGACCAGGCATGAGTGAGAGCACCACTGAGTATCAAAAATTCAAAAGTTAAGCCACCAAGTAATTAATTTACACCTATTTTACTCTATTTTTCAAATACTGCATTCACAAAAACATTTAAATGCACCTCAAATTTTTTTTAGGAAGAGGAAAGAAGGAAACCACAGGACTAGAGCAACCTGGTTTTAAAACATCCCTGCCCCTGCCAGTTGGTCATGACTGCGGGGAAGACACACAACCTTGGCAAAGGGGTCAGCAAGGTCAAGTTGGAGGTCCACGGGTGGCACTTCAGACTCACAGGAGCCAACCCTCTTCCTACAGGCCTCACAAATCCTTTTCTGAGATGCTTTGCAAATTTGGGTGGAAGAAGAAAGTGGTATTTTTATGAGATTCATGACAAAACAAGACCAAAGACAGTTCCAGAGTTACAGAAAGAAGAGATAAGCAAACATTTCTGAAAGATGAAATGGACAAAGTTGCTTTCTCCAGTGGCCAGTGAGACGCTCGATAAGGAAGTATGAAGGTCCTGTACACAAAATGGTATCAGACAGGGTGCAGCTCAGCGCCAGAGTGTTCTAGAAGGGCAGCGCCCTGGATCCAACCCCCAGGACTGCAAAAAAGAAAACAAAATCCCAGGGCCGGGGTGTAGCTCAGCAGTAGAGCATGTGCTTAGCATGCAGGAGGCGGTGGGCCCTCTCCCCAGCAGGCGTGCACAAACACACCCCCCACACACACACTATCTGAGTGACTTTCCACTTCCATGGTGGCCGCAAATTCATCCCTAAAATCTATGCAGGGCTCCAGGTGGGGAACTGCCGTGAAGCACTGTATCCCAGACTGCTCCTCTTTCCAGACTGCTCAGCGCGGTGCAGGACCAGAGCAAGGCTGGCCTGGCAGGGAGGGGAGCGGGGTGCGCGCACAGCTGTGCCCCACTCTTGCAAGTAGCTGTACCCCAAGGGCCCGGCCCCCAAACAATGCCCACTCCCACTCCAAGGCCTTCCCCTCGCCTGGGGTGAGGCGGCCAGGACCACAGAAGCCCAGGAGGAAGGGCTGGGCCAAGGCTTTCCCCTGGGAACAGTTCCAACAGCCCCCCTGCTACCTGGAGCAGCAGCAAGGACAGCCTGACCACAGACAGGAAGGAGCTGCTCAGAGGATGTCAGTGCTGCTGGAGGGGGGCACAGCAGGGAAGAGACCCCTGTGGAATCCCGGAGGGGAGGCCGTCGAGGGCAGACGTGAGCCCTGCTGCACTAGGACAGAGCTGGTTTCCAGCGAGGAGGGAGGAAAGGGAGGATGTGCCCCATCTCTGCTCAGCCTGCACATTTCTCTGCCCCCTCCCCAAACAGTGAGCAGACTCTGCGATCCGACTAGGTGTCCGCCCGATCTCCAGGGCCAGCAAAACTTCAAGGGGCTCAGGGCTCACACACCCAGGAAGCGCGGCCGCATCCCTCTAGAAACTCCCAGGAAGCAGCGTCCCCAGAGTGGGCAGCGCGTCCCCCTCCACCTGCGGAGGAGGTCCCCCAGGCAGCGGGCTTCCTTCCTTCATTACCTCACTGCCTCCTTCCCCTGACGTCAGCCTCCCCGGGCCTGGGTCCCACCAGGAGGGGCTGGGGGCAGCCCGTGTCAGCTCCCGGCAGCGGGGGAGGGGCGGTGAGCTCACAGCTCGGCCAAAACCCCTCCTGCCCGGGCTCCCCCCCCCCACGGTTACCAAGCAACCCTATCAGACGCAGGACCCCTGCCAAGTTCACCTAAAGTTGAAGAACACAGGAGAGCAGCAGAAGGGAGGGAGGCTTGGCCGAGCCCTAGGGGTGCACACAGGTGGCACAGTGTCCTCGGCCTGGCCTGGCCTGCACCCGGCTGGAGTGGGCTCCATGCGAGCTAAACACGGGTGGGGCTGGGATGGGCCAGAGCCTCAGTGAGCCAAGGGGTTGGAAGAGGACTGGGTGGGGTTCCCACTTTGGCCCCAGGAAGTTGAAAGCGCTCATTTTCAGGCTGCAGGTCCGGGAGAGGTGACATTTCATCTGCCCACAGGGAAGCTCCAGCCTCCTACCTGCTGTACGGCGTCCTCAGCAGCAGCGCCTGGCTGCCGGAACAGCTGTCCGTGGGCGTGTGGCAGCCGTAGACTGGGGGCGGCACAGGGTACTGCTGCTCGCCTGTGGACAGCAGGGGACAAAGGGGCCAGGGTGAGCGCCATGCAGCCATGGGCAGCAGGGTGCAGGAGGAGGACAGGTGGGGGCGCCGCCAGGCAGCCCCAGTAGATGGGGGCTGAGTGCTTCTCACTTTTGCTTCCTTAGCGGTCACCCAGTGACCACCACAAATGCCCTGGGTTAAGCGGCGCTTTCCTGTCGCTCCTAGGCCGGAAGGAAACCCAGACAGAAAGGGGCCACTCATCAGCCCGCCCTGCACTCACCCAGCGAGCCCTGCTGCCCCATGGGGTCCTCGTGCTTGAAGGAATGGCTGGGCAGCTGTGCGGCATGGTGGGAGGCCGTGTGGCCGTAGCTGGGCGTCCCGTCGAAGGTGACCGTGCTGTACCCTGCGGGGCAGAGAGAAGCACAGGTCAGTGGGCTCTGGGGGACTGAGGGCTCCTCACCTCACAGTTCCCAGCCACACCGAGCCTATTCCGAGACCAGTTCCTGCACTCAACCTCGGAGAGTTAAGTGCAAAACTCCTCAGCCGAGGCAGCAGCGAGGCGGTCCGAAGCAACAGGGGGCGCCCAGCCGGCATGGCTGGCGCAGGTTCAGCCCCTGGGCTTCCGCGGCGGGGACAGACCCTGCCGGGAGTCTTGTCCAGAAGGAAATGAGGGGAAGAAGCAACCCTGACTCCCCTTCCCCTTGGACCCACTGGGCTCCCCGGTGCACTGGACCCCGCCACAAAGCCTTTCAAGTGGGCCGGGCCCTGAATCTCCCTCCCCCCCCCAGCAGGGCCAGGCCTTCTGCCTCAGTTTCCCTGCCAAGAACCCAGCACTGTGCTTCCTCGTCACGCACTAGAATGTAGTGTCTTACTCGAAAGCTGCGGCCTTGTGTGGTTTTATCCAAATACCCCCGAACATCTAGAAGAAATGTCCTGGGTAAAGTGCAGCCCCAGAACCCTGACCCGCGGGTGGGGTGCCCAACTTCAGTGCTCACCTCCAAGTCTACAGTCTGAGGTCCTGGCTGGCCAAGTGCGAATGGCAGCAGCTGGGCACCCCCCTCCCCAAGGGCCACCGCCAGCCCGATGCCTTCATCTGCCCCAAATTCTTGGGATGAGCTAAGGCAAAGGCTCCCCAAACCCTCTCCTGTCTGTATAGCCTGTGGTCCAGTCTCTGTGACAAATGTCTCGGAAGCTGGGTCAGCTCAGAGCCAGGAGGCCAGTGACCCCCACCCTGGGCACCCAGAGAATCTGCCCACAAAATTGGGTTCTGTCCTCACTCTGGGGCTCCAGAGCGCCAGGGAGGGGTGGGAGAACCCTACGGGCCCAGGACACTGTCCGGCCATGCAGGCTGGCACTGAAGAAGCCCCAGGTCTCATCCTCTGCATGACCCGGGGCCTCCATTTCTTGACTGATAAGTGGGTGGAGATGCCCGGCCGCACACCTGGGTGTGGTGGGCACCCGAGTCCTCACGGCTCCCTTGGGGGAGCTGAGAGCCTGGCCCTGTGGCAGGATGGAGAATGGGCTTGCAAACGAAATTTGGTTCCAACACCCAATTTTGCCCAAGGGCAACTGAATTTCTGGAAGGATTTGTTTTTAATAAAGTCAAGGAGAAATAAAAACCACCAAGAAAATTTCTCCCAATGAACCCTTCTCCATTCTGAGCCGATGAACAGGCAGCAAGCGACCCAAGGCCGGAGAGCTGTCGGGAGCAGTTTGTGCACAGCTGAGGTCCCGGCTGCAACTCTGCACCTCAGAACCCGGCCCTGGGACGCCAGTGCCCCCAGATGGAACACAGACCTGGGCAGCCAGGTGGCCCCAAGTCCCCTCCCTCAGGTCTGTAGGGACCGAGCCTTTCATCGGCTGCCTATGGGATGCAGGGCTGACCAAGAGCCCGCCCTTGTCCTTCCCAGCATGGCGGGTGACCAGGCAGCGGCAGCGGGCGGGCGGGCGAGCGGGAGCAAGACCTTGACAGAGCCTGCAGGGAGAGGCTGCTCCAGCTCGGAAGCTGGGACCAGAGGCGTGGAGGGGTAGAGGGAAGAAGGGCTGCGGCTAGCTTTGTGGGACGGGAAACCTCTCCCCAGCCAAGGACCAAATACTGTCCTGCACATGGCTGCCTGGGGCATCTTTGGCCCTCAGGCAGAGCTGGTCCCCCAGAGACCCTAGGACAGCTCAGCGATGCCCAGGCCTAGTCCTGCGCCTGTGATCGGTTTGGAGCTCCAGCCCGGATGGGGCAGTCTTTCCGCTCCCTGAGCCCTGCTTTTGGGCTGGCGTAGAAAAGTCCTCCCTGCCTTCTGCCCAGACAAACCTCACACCCTCATGCACTGAGGAGGGAGGAGTTCAGGGTGCACTGCCCTTGGGCAGAGGAAACCACCTCAGGCCCCATCGGGGTGGCCTGGGTTCAAGCCCCAGGCGCCTCCTCTTCAGCACCAGGCTTTCCCGCCAGAAACAAGGTGTTAGGCCTGCAAAGTCAGCTGCAGGAGTTCAGCAAAGGGCCCCCAGGCTATAGATGGTCTGTCCCGTCTGTCACAAAGTGGGTTCTTGCTGTTTGCTAACGAAATGTTCAGAAGATTGGGCAGCCCGCTGTGTCCAGAAGCAGATACAATGAGCCAAGAAGCAGCGAGCATGAGCACTCACCAAGGGCCTGGCTTCAGGCTCAGCCCCACAGCCCTGCTCAGGACAGGTACCAGACAGCCTGGAGTCTGCCTTAGGCTCACCCCAGAGCCGACACCCAGGCTTTCTTGGTCCTGCATTCCGGGGGAACCCAGGGGCCCCCAAAACCAGAGGAAGAAATGTGGAACCTGGAGGGGCAAGGTCCCACCCTTGTTGACTCCTTGAAGCTCTGCTGGCTGTCAGGCTGGGCCCGAGGCTCAGCGAGCTCAGTCGGCTGGCCAGCTCCCACCCTGCTCGGGGTCGCTCTTCTTCAGGCTGCCCGTGGGGCGGAACCAAGCTGGACTGAAGAAAAGATCCTGGCACAGAAGCTGCGCCCCACAGGGTCGGACAGGCTGCTTCTCGTCCTCCCGCTGGCATCACACACCTGCCGGCTGGCTGCGGCTCCCAACCAAGCACCCAGCGGAAGTCTGGGTGCTGCTGAGCTTTGCACTGAGTCCTGAGCCGAAGTCCGACCCAGACTCTCAGCTCCCTCTCTCAGATGAGGAGCCCAGGCCTCCAGGCCTCCAGGTTCGGTAGCACCTGCCATCCCACCTTGCAGGAGGATGGGCTGTTCACAGGAAGCCGTCCCAGTGCTCCAGAGTACGGAAACTTTCATGGAGAGAAGACAGGAACTTCCTAGACCTCATGGTGAGGGTTCCTTAGCAGGACAGGACTCCAATGCTCTAGGGGAAAGGGTGCTTTTGCTAGGGCCTGGGGGCAGGAGTAGGTGGTGGGAGTAGGGCCAGGAGTACGGGTGGCATCGCCCCCACCAGCAATCTGAACTAAGCCCCTTCTACCCCACCTCACAAACAGCCGACTCCTGGCCTGCACTTCGAGACATTGTGCTCCAGGAAGAGCATCGGCCATTGTGTTGGTAAAGGATTTCCTAAAATACGGAATTAAACCAAATTGGGTTTTCAACTGCAAAGAAATCAAATAGAAATCAACAAAGAGGCCAAAATACAGTGGCTCCACTTTTGTTTTTCGGTTCATGCTGGAGAGAGGTGCGAAGGTGCTGGGGCAGGATGGAGGAGAGGGCACGGAAACCCGCCTGGCTCCAACCTCAGAGTCTCCCAAAACTCTTCCCACTGAGCCCCAGGCTGGCATGAAAAGGGGGTGCACAGAGAGGTGCGCGCCAGGGGCCTGCTGCGGCCCCCCCACAGCAGAACCTGTTCCCAAGCCTGTGGTCGCCAAGCGGATCGCTTCTGTCCCTGCAGCCTGCGTGGCGCAGTCACACTGGACTACCCTGCCCAAGAGCTACACGTGGACCCGGACACTGTCCCCAAAGCCACCTAGTTAGAGCAGGCTGTCGCCTTTCTGCGCGCCCAGCCTGGGACAGCGCCGCGCCAAGGATGAGACGCTGGCCGGCGCCTGAGCTTGTGGCTCCCCCGCCCGATGATGCTCCGTCTGGACGCCCCGAGAAGCCCACCGCCTGGCCGTAATGCGCCGGGTGCCTTGGACAAGACCTATTCCCCAGGCAGGGTCAGACCTGCCCCGGCGCCGCTTCCCGTTCCCCGGCAACGCACAGCCCGGAGTTCCCGGATCCTGGGGACCCAGGCGGCCTCCCGGCTCCTGCGAACCGTTGGCTGCAGAGGGAGCCGGGAGCGGCGAGGCGAGCGCACCCCGTCCCCCGGGCCCAGGAGGAGGCCGATGGGGCAGGGTCCCGGAGGAGGCATGCAGGGGACTCGGGGCCGCCGCGGAGCCCACTCACCCTGGTTGCGGATGGCGGGCTGGCTCTCCAGGCAGCTGGGCAGGTAGGGAGCGTTGGGGAACATCCGGGCCTGGCCTGAGGACGCCTGGCCGGGCGGCGGGGGCCCGAAGGGTCCGTAGCGGCAGGCCCCGGCCGTGCCGGTGAACTGGCCGGAGAAGTGCACGGTGAAGGCGCTCAGGCACTGTTCCTCGTGCGCCTCGGCGCCGCCCCAGCTCGGCTCCTGCTTGATGAACGAGTGCGGCGGCGGAGGGGGCGGCGGCGCGGGCGGCGGCGCGGGGCCGCCCAGGGAGCCGTAGGCCGGGGCGCCCGGGGGCGCGAAGTCCAGCACCGGCGCCCACTGCGCTGCGCCGCTCACTGGCAGCGAGCAACCGCCCCCGCCGGCCAGCGAGGGCACCGCGGGCAGCAGCGCGTTCAGGTCCCGCACGTCCGAGCCCATGGGTGCCGGGCCGCTGCTCCGGGTTGGGACGCTGTGCGCCGGCGCGGCCGCGCCTGACTCTGCCCCGACGCCGCCCGGGCCTGGGCTCGCAGCGGGGCGCGCACGTGGACGCCGGCGCCTTGGGGAAGCGCGGGACCCGGGCTCGCAGCGCCCCAGCGGCAGGCGGCAAGGGAGTGGGAGGCGGCGGGCTGCAGAGCCCCTGGCGTGGGCGCTGCCTTGAACTCCTTACCCCGGCTGCCTGGCTGCCCCCGGCTTCCCAAAGCTCAAATAAGAGGGGCTGGCGCCGGGGGAGGAGGAGGAGCCAGCGGGCCCGGAGGCGCCATTCACACCGCGTCGGCCAGGCCGGCGACGCTCGCGCTCGCTCTCTCGGGGCGCCCTTAGCGGGGGCGGGGGGCGGGACCCCAGGAGCCCCCCCCCCCGGCCACCTCCTCGCCAGCTGCCGCGCGCTCCCTCTGCCTCCCCTCCAGCCAGCGCGCGAGTGGGGGCCCTGGCCGGTCCCTAGGGTGAGCCAAGTGTCCCCTCCGCACCGGGGCGGCAGGGGGACCAAAGGGCGGTGGAACGGGGGTGGGGGTGGGGGCTGAGGGAGGGGAGGGGCCCCCAGGGCGGAACTTAGGAGGGGTCCAAGCACTTTCGGAGCTCGGAGGCCTCCGCGCCGCCGTGCCTTCATCTCGACGTCCCTGGGGAGGGGTCAGCCCCAGAGGTCGTGATCCGAGGCAAAGACGCCCCGGGTGGGAGACCTGCAGGGCGTTACCGATCGCCTGGTAGCTGGTTACCGGGTGAGGAGGCCGGTGGCCGCCTACCTGAAATCGGAGTCTGAGGGACTTAGCTTCCTCCCGAGTGAGGTGCATCTATGCTACGGCCAAGCCGGGAAATGGCTCGGGGAGCGGGAACCCGGGGTCCGCCCTGGGCCTGCGTGCGTGCGGGCTGCAGCACCCACACCCTGTTGGGGAGGAGAGGAAACAGGAGGTTCGGCGCACAGCCCGGGGAGAAAGGGCGCCCGGCCCTCCGCTCACGCCCAGGGTTCAGTACTGAGGCCCAGTGCCCGACCTGGAGGCTCCTGCTAGTCTGGCGACCGAGAAGCGGGACCTAGCTCTTGGCCCGGCGGCAGAGGCCGCGCGCGCGTGCTCGGAACCCTGCTAGGAGAACCCGGCGCCCCGCGCCTCAGGGAAGGGGTTGGGGCTGGTTTTACTTTGGGCTTTAGTTTCTGTGACGTGCGTCTGCGGCGCGTGGAAACGCCCCGGAGCTCCAGAGGCGTCGGCGACGGCGCGGCCTGGGACGGCCAGTCGCGGGCGGGAATCGCGGGGCTCGGGCCTCCGCACCGGCCTAGCGGGAGGGGCGCGCGGGTCTCCGCCAAGCCCACTGCGCGGAACCCGGAACAGCGTCTCCGTGGCCTGGATTTACCGCTTTGGTTTTCACTGGCGTGCTGTCTACGCTGTCGCTGTTAGATTCTGGCTGCGGGCGGGAGGCGCTCGGCGCTGGGCTCCGGGCGCTCAGGCCGCAGGTGAAGCCCTCCAAGGTTTAGGGCGTGCTTAGAGGCGCAGAAGACCCCGCGGGCCAAGGCTGGCGGCGGGAGGGAGCCGCGCGCGTCCCTCTATCCACCTTCCCGCCGCTCTCAGCTCAGCTTTGCTCCTTCCTTCCTCTCTGGGCGAAGCGCGCTGGAGTCTGGGTGGACGCGCAGGCCCTTGCAGAGGACCCTGCTCAAGCCAGGGTGTCCCCTGGACGCCCCAAAACCCTGTCCCTCCCTCCCTCCTCCCCACCTCTGATTTCAACTTGAAACTCGTTTTCTTCCTAACTAGGACTAGATGAGCTGTGAGCGGAGAGGAGACCCTGTGAAAAGGTAGAGCTGCAAAGGAGGGACCAGGTTGTCCTTTGCTCTGCAAGGTTTTTTGGGGGGGGGCGGGGTATTCAGGAGAGAGGCTGGCTGCAACCCCGAGCAGGGTGAAGACACCAAAGTCTCTACCTCGACATTTCAAATAATAAGGTTTTGCCGAGTGAGGGCCGAGAGAGTGGCTAGTAATTGGTAGGAGGGGAGCAGAGGCAACTGAGGACCCCTCGGTGCCCCTGTCTTTTGTTTTCTGGGGTCCCTGAGGGGGCCAAGGAAGTGTCGCTCCCCTTTGAGCCCAAGGCACCTCCACTTCTGCCCCACCGCCTCCGCCAGTGAGTGCCACCTTCTCCCTGGGGTCCCTAAATTCCCACTGGGCCCTTGCCGAGGAGCACAGGCTCCACCTCCCTTCCTGAGCCCCAGGAAGCCCAGGTGCCTTGGCTGGTAGGCTGCAGCTCTGGAGAAGTGGGGTGATCTTCTTGCCCACCCTGCGCTCTCCAGCTCTTCCTCGGAGAAGCTTCGGGCTGCTTGGGCTCCCTGCGCTCCCCTCCCGCCCTGTGAGGCCGGTCTGAGCCACCTTGCAGGGCTGGAGATGAAGCTCCTGACTCTGAGGAGAAGGAGCCAGCCAAGGCCCAGAAAGCAGGGAAAGGAGCAGGGACAGGTGGCCAGCACCGGACTCCGCTTGGCGGCCACCAGCAGCTGTGCGGGCCTCGCCGGCAGGGTGCCCTTCGTTTCCTCCCTATAGAGCTGGAAATGCCCCGGGAGCACCCACCTCATGGTGCTGCCCTGCGCACTGGGGAGCAGGTGTTGGCCCAGAACTCTCCGTAAATCACGATTTTCAAGTTTGTCCACTCTCCGGGTGGGATAGCGAAGTCACCGCAGCCAAGCTGTGACCCCACCTGGTCCAGCAGTGGCTTTAGCCACCACTCGGCCGCTCCAGAGCTCAGGGAACAGGAAGGGGAGCAGGGCACATGGGCACCCAAGAGACTCCCCACACTGGGGAATGTGGGTGTGGTTCAGGCGGTGAGGACCTCGCCCCACTTCCACCCCAGGTCCACTGCATCCGGCCCCAGGTCTGCGCCCCGCTCCTCCCCACCCCCCACTGCGACCCCCAGGCCAGGCTGGCTGTGCCTGCTGGGGCACCGGGTGACTGACCCTGGCTGTGCCCCAGGCCCCTGCTCCGGCAGCACCCGTACCACACCGGGGCGCAGGAATCTCCCAGCCCGTGCAGGTTACAGCCCGGCATCAGAATCTTGAAGCCAGTTTTTAAAACAAACAAGGTGGAGGTTTCCGGGCAGCCCCTTCCCCAGCTTCCCCTCTGGGTTTGTGAGTCTTCTCCATCTTCTGCACCAGTCTCCCACCCGGCGCCCTGCAGGGGAGGAGCGGAGCAGAGCTTCGGGCAGAGCGCTCTCCCCAGCCGCCGGCTGCTCTGTCCCAAGCCACTGCAAGCCAGTCCCCACTGAAAGGATTCCGCAGCGCTGCTTCTATTATTATACCGTAAATCTTTTTAAATTCTGGAACTAATTATATAGAGGATATGTCTCAATTTGTTCTGCATTAATGCCACAGCGGGGATGGAGGCCAGGCCGTGGCCCGAGCAAATACGTAGGCCCATGAAATTGATGAACTGAGAGCTCGCTTCCAGTCCTGCGCACACCATCTGGAATTCCAGTCTGAGGTTACAATTAGAACTCCTGACCCCAGATTCAACTTTGCAAACAACGGGGAAAATGGGCAAAAGAAAAAAAATAGGAAAAAAACACAATTTATTCTGCACCTGTAAAAAAAAATCTGCACGCAATCTTCACATCTTTCCGTCTTAGAAAATTCTTCCCAAGCGTTTCTTTTGTGTTTTTAACCTATAAAAGATAATGGAGTATATTTTATAGACTAGGTTTTATCTTCTCCCCATTCCCAACTGCACTTTGTTTAATAGTTGTCAGCTTCCCTTTAGCCTTGGATTTAATTATATAGGACCAAAATATTCTCTAGTAAATAGCTTGCTAAATATTTTGTCACTTTTGTGACTTCCCCTCCGAGAACTAGATTAATTACAGGAATCTACCTGGATCTGGGGACTTCTCTCCCTACCCCCTCGACTGCTACTTCATCTTAGCTGTAATCAAAGATTTTGTTTGTGTTCCAAATCCGTTGGACCAATTTCTTCCTTCTTTCTTTAGCAACTTGCTCCTTTATTTTCCTCTCACTTTGACTCCCTGAAGCAACGAAGAAGCAGACAGTCCGGGGGAATCTGTTAAATTTATTAGCATAGAGGCTTAGACAAAGCGAGGTATAAATCATTCTGAAGGATTAAGCCATAAAGCATCCCAATGAAGTCAGCCCTTGCCAGGGTCCGGGTGTATAAATGTTCATATAAAACAAGGTATCAGTATTATCTAGCAAGGGAGCATGTGTCTAAGGAGATCCAAATGTTGAGTTAGGACCGGAGGAGGGGTGGCAGGGCGGCTGGAGACCTTAGTGCAGGGCGTCAACCTAGCAGTGGCTCCCAAAGTATGCCGGGAGTGCAGCGTCTCAACAGTTTGCATTTGGAGTCCTCAGTAAATGACTTTTTAAAAAGAAAATGATGTGAGATGTTTGTGATGAGCAGCAAAGGCATCCGGGAAGAAAGACAGTGTTTTCTGTAGAACGCCCCCACCCCCAGGTCAATTCAGCTTCACAAACATCCAGTCTGAAAAGGCGGGGCTCCTCCTGCTGAAGACAGCCTGGCCAGAGCACCTGGCCGCCAAGCCCTGTGCAGCGGGTGGCCGGGTGGCCGGGAGGACGCGGTGCCCAGGAGATGGGTGGGGAGGAGAGCCGGTGGGAAGGGGAGTGTGCATGGACCTGGACGGCACTCGGAGGGGCAGAGGGTTCTACCTGACAAAACCTTCCAGGGGCATGCAAGACCGGGGCTCTGCTTCATGGCAGCTCAGGCCATTCTTTGTCTTTCAGAAATGATTGTTCTCAGAGTTTCGTGAAAAACAAGTGATCAGAGAAGAGCCTCCCCCCCTGCTACTTTCCCAACAGAGTCAGCTCATCCCGCAAGTGCCACCCAGGCCAGGCCAGCGGCGCAGCTGTTCTGCGGCCAGCATTGCACCAGCAGCTGGGAATGGGTCACACCCTCTCCTGGGAGCGTGGTTCCTGAGGGATTTACGGGATCCTGAGTCTCCCTAGGATCCTCAGCGTGGCCGTTCAGGCACAGCTGGGTCAAAATCACCACCACCAGGGCTCAGTGACTCAGTGACTTTACCCTGGAAACCTCAGGCTTCTCTTCTTCGAGGTAAAAATAACAGCAGTACTGTTCAGTTGTGAGAGGTACTGGTCTGGTGTGTAACTTCCTTAGCTCACAGGAAGCCCTCGTAAATGGTAGTGCGGTACTGACAGAGATGTGAGTTCTGAGCTGTCCTCTTGCTGCGTGAGGGAGAGCTTTCATAGAAGAAAGGTAGCAATCTTCACACTCCTGTTGGGTGGAGGCAAGGGAAGAAGAGAAGCCCTTGCTAGAGGGTAAGGCCGTGAGCAAGACATGGCACTCTCAAAGCAGTTGGGGTCCTTCTGCCCTGTACCCTGTCCCTGAGACCGGAAGTGGATGGCTGTTCCTTAAGAGTGAGTTTGTTTGGGATCACATCGCTGCTGGTGGAGTGCAGTGCAGAATGGAATGAAGAATCCTGGGCTAGGTGTAAAAGCCTCTGGTGGCAACCTTGACCTGAGGAAGGAGCAAAGCCCTGAGTTTTCCTGCCTTTATCTGCGCAGGGAGAGTGATGAGAAGCACGAGGTAAAGGCATGGAGGGAGTGCAAACCTGCGCCCTGCAACAGCGCCAGCACCTAGCAGACAGCCCCTCCAGGGTGGGCGAGGCGGGGCGGGGCATGCACTGCGGGAAGGGAGGGACTGGCCAGTGTCGCTGTCCAGTAAGTGCGACCTTCTGAGCCACTTCTCTTCCGGGCCTGGCCCTGCCCCAGCTCTTGTGTGGGGTGGGCTGCTTCTGACTGAAGAGCTTGGGGTCGGCAGGGGGGACCTTAGTCCTCCCATCTTCCCTGGCTTTGGCTTCTGCTTGCTCTCAAGCCTGGATTTTCTCAGCTGTGAAATGGGGCTGATGCTACCATCGCCTTCCAGAGTCATTTTGAGAACAAGCTGAAAGCTGTGTATACAGTAGGGGTGCGGGGTCGGAAATGCATAGCCAGTAGCGATTGGACCCTGAACTTGTCTGGTCTGGCGTGAAGCTTGGCCTCCAGGACGGCTCAGCCGAAGCAGCCTGAGCAACAGCAGGGTTCTGAGCGGCAGAAGCAAACCTCCAGTCTTCCTCTGGGCCCAGCTGTGCCACACCAAGATTCACTTTCCTTCATTTATGAAAACCTTTGCAGCCGAGGGATTAACAGCACACTGTGTGTGTGTGTGTGTGTGTGTGTGTGTGTGGTACTAGGAAGTGAACCCAGGACCTTCACACTGAGCTGTATGTGTCGCCAGCCCCTTTTTATTTTTTTGTTTGTTTTGGGACAGGGTCTCCCTAGGTTCCACGTTGCCCAGGCTAGCCTTGAACTTGTGACCCTCCTGGCTCAGCCTCCCACAGTGCAGGGATTACTGATGTGAGCTACCACCCCCGGCTCACTTTTTGCCTTTTGACTGTGAGTCCTTTAGGTTAAATTTTCTAATCCCATTTCTTCTCAGTGGGTGTCTTTGCAGAATACCCAGTTTAATCAAGGACTTTGGTGGTCCCATATTTTTCAAAATAGACAAGAAATTGTTTTCAGCCGATGGAGAGGGAAAGCAGTCTGACCCTCTTACTGGAGTTGCACGTAGCATTTATTAATAGCTCCGTAAACAGGTGTGAACATAGTATTAGCTTGCTGCACAAAACATTACAAAGTTTATGAGAAGTTGCTCAGGAAAAACAAGATGGAGTCGTTAGAAATTGGATACTGGTCAACAGCACAGACTCCCATAAATCACAAACAAATGAAACTTCCCTCGTGATCACTGTTGCAGAGCTAAGGGACCCTCCCCTTTGGGAGAGCTAAGTGCATTTTAGAGAGCCCAATATTTTCCCCTACCGATACAGAGGCTAATTACAAAATTTCCCAAGAGATAATAAATACTAAACTCTAATCAACACATGTGACACAAGATAAATAAGAAGCACAGAATTTAACCTTGGTTCCCTGGGTGAAGCACATGTTTATCTTTAATTATCCCCACCTGGGAATGGACACACATTATCTGTGATGTTTATTATTTGTTCCTGGAGCCACCACATTTTAATTTTGTGCAGAAAGTTCTCTGTTTAAGCTGCTGTCCTAACTTAATTATTAGTTGCTCTCTTTCGACTCCCAGAGTATATATCCTAGATTTGATGGTTGGTAAATAATATTCCACTTTCTTCAAGTTGCGCTTTAGGAAAAGGATTTAAGAACGCCTTAGAAGGGCCTGGCAGCACATGCCTGTAATCCCATCTACTCCTGAGGCTGAGGCAGGAAGGTTACAATTTCACAACCAGCCTGGGCAACTTAGACCGTGACTCCAAACAAAAAGGGCTGGACTCACTTGAAGCCCTGGGTTTTTCCTCCAGTCTTGGGCGGGGGGGTCATCGAACAAGGCTGAAAGAAGATGGAGTTGGTGGGCCGAGTGAGAAGAAATGATTGGGTTGACGTTAGAAACCAGAGAGTGAAAAGAGTCATTTAGTATGAAACTTGGTTCTGAGTGTCCTGACAGCCAAGTCAGAAAGGGAAAGTGACGATAGCTGAACAGCTCTCCTGTGATAGGAGCAGGAAACCTGGTTTTTCTGAACTTGAATGGAGCGCCTCACAGCGGCTGTCTGCCACTGGGTCATCAGAGAACTGCAGTTTCCAGTGTCAGAGATGGCCCAACCCAGTGGTCAGAGTCAGTCACCGTTCTGCAAACGCTTTCTAAGGGAGATAGCCAATAGCTTGGTCTCCTTTTATAGTTTTCCGGGCTCCACTGAGCACTGCACCCCAGGGCCTTCACATGGAGCGACATCCCAGCCCTTTTTACTTTTCATTTTGAGCCAGGGGTTTCGCCACATCACTAACTGCCCACATTGGCTTTGAACATGCCATCCTCCCGCCTCCGCCTCCCAGAGTGCTGGGATTACAAGCTTGTGCCACCATACCCAGCTCCCATTGGTAATTTTGAAAAACATCTTTTCTTCATGAATCATCAAATACGAACGTGAACCGAAGCGTGTTGTTCTCCAGAACCTGTTCAGGACTAGGAGAGCAGTGCAGGGCCCCCAGGGTGAGCTGCTCCCGGAGACGCTGGACACAGGCTGAGCCGGCGTCCAGGAGGTAGGCAGAGGCAAGTACTGCCAAGCCCCGTGCAGGGCCAGCAGGGTGCAGACCTGGCTTCCACCTGGGCCCGAGGGATGAGTGCGGTGGGGAGGGGGCTTGGGCCAGGTCCCCACCCTGCCCGGGGAGCCCGGTCACCTAGCCCCTGCCCCAGGATGGGGCAGTGAGCCCAGCGCAGGCTGCAGCCCCCCAGGGAGGGGGATAAACGAGCTGACTAGAAAATGGGAGCAGGCCAGGGCCAAGCAAGCAGGGCAGAGCTCTGTCGGGTGCCACACCCCAGGTCCTGAAGCCACGAAGACCAGGGCAGCATCGCCTTCCACGTGGCCAGGACCGCCCGAGCGCCAGTCTGCGGTGGACTGGGGGTGCACGGGCTCTGCCCCCCCTCCCACACCATTTTCTAACCCTGCACATTCGCTGGGACTCGGTTTTCTGTCACCTTGAACTGGAAAGCAGTGCCTACTGAGCAGCGCAAGCCACCACGGGCCAGAGAATTCCAGAGCGCTGCCGTCACTGCACAGCAGCGCCAGAATCACCAGTAAGAAATATGGTTCTGACCCAGGCTCTGTGTCACACTGCAGGCCGTCCTCTCCCGAGCCAGGGAACGAGCTGTGAGAAGGGGCTGCTGCAGTCCCTCCATGCTGACCGTCTCAGCCCGAGTTCAGCCAGGAGAGGGACAGCCCTCGTCACCGTGTGACATGTTTACTTCTAGCCGAGGAAAATACCGCCGCTGCGGCTGCCCTTCCCTGCGCAGGCACTGGCCTGGAGACGGATATTTTATGTCTTCCTTTGATGATTTACAAATAAATTAGTGCGATCGAGAAGGTCTGCCAGCATCTATGCGTTACGGGGAAACCCAAGACGGTGAAAAATGATCGTGATTTACCGTATCCCGATACTTCCTTCTTAAGAACCAAATAAATATCATCGGCTAGTTTATGGAGCTGACATATTTATTGCAGAATTCCCGCCGGAGGACTTCCCATTGTCCTGTGTTCTCACACATTGTTTTCACAAATTGTGGCTTGAAGGAAGGCAGGGAAATTCAGGCTGGAGAAGCAAGATGTTATCTTTTGGAAAGGATGCGCCTCTCTAACGGGACAGGATAATCCATTCAGAGGCTGGAAAGCCCAGTCCTCCGGGGGTGTGATAAATCCACAGGATCTGGAATCTGGGACTGCTTTGGGACCTTGAAGTTAGCTGGGACAACTTAGCCCCGGCCCAAACAAACAGTGTATCCTTCTCGCCGGATAAGCGCAGACAGCTGTGCACTCCGGTTTGCCCTGTTTTCCTTACAGGCGATTGCATTCACGGAGGCCGATCTCCTCACGTCCATCAGCAGTGGGCTAGGCGCCTGATGCCAACCTGGGCCCGTGCGGCTCTGTGATTGGAAATCGGTTTCCAACAGGGACGGGGCTCCTGCTCCTTGCAGGTGGGACCTGTGCATGGAGAGCGAGGCAGAGCAGGGTCACTCGTGACTACCAGAGGACCATGCTGTCCTCAGAAGGTCAGAGTAGGACAGCTGGCATCGCCGGTACAGAACTCACGTCTTGAGTGGGATCCAAGCAGCTCCTCACCCTCCCCGCTCCTAACGCGCCTGGCACCCTCTGAAGCCACCCAGGTGCCCCTATCTGTGCAAGCGCCTTTGGCCAGGCTGCATCGGAAGCCTGCAGCAGTGGCAGCTTTGAGGGACAGGAGAGCAGCTCGCCCCAGCTCTCCTGTTGCTAGTTGCCCGAGTTTCCCCAAGATCACACCCACACACCCGGCCGGAGCAACCCAGCCAGGCCTGGGGAGGGAGCCGTCTTTCTGGGACAGTGTCCAGTCGTTCCGTCGTTCGTTCCGTCCCAGCCAAGCACCTGCGCGGCCGAGCTGGTTCTCAGGTGTTCACAGACTGACTGTGGCTGCTGTCGGGCCTGTCCTTGGAAAACCCCACGTCCCCCGTTCTCTGTGCTGCTCCTGGAGCTGAAAGCCGCCTCACTGAGTCTGCGGACAGCCTGATGGGCCCCAGGACCTGCGTGTGCTGTTCCGCCTCCTCGGTCAGCAGCGAGACGCCTGCAGGGGCCGTTCTTCTGGCTTGGGAGGGACTCGAGCCGCTGCCCAAACCTTCACAGCTGCATTTAGCAGTCGAAGGAAGGTGATGGGAAGCCACACAGAGCCCCTCAGCACCAAGCTTTGCTGCCTGTTTGGTGCTGGTGGAGTCAACTGCACGGGCCCAAGTGTCACTGAGCTGCAGACAGCTCGGACCTCTCCAGAGAGCCCGCCAGGACGGCAGGCATGGAAAACAGGGCTTCTCCCACCTGGCTCCCACGGGCCGAGGCGGAGGGTGCCTACCCCAGTGTGTAGCCCCCCTCGGTTTAATGTTTCTCTGTCCACAAACAAGAATCGTTTTCTAAACCACTGCCTCAGCTTACTTTAAAAGGTCCCAGGACAAAAGTCCTAGGTGAGCCCAGACCCCAGTCTGAGGTGTGGACTGAGAAAAATATTGTACAATCAAAACAGAACAAGTGCTGGGTGAGAAACAGCAATGATCTGACTGAGAAAGTTAGCCAGCGTTGTTAAAGAGACTGTTACATACGACCTTTTTCTTTCCTGTGTTTTTTGGAGACAGGGTCTCTATGTAGTTCAAGCTGGCCTTGAACTCACTATGTAGCCCAGGCTGGACCTAAACTCACAGTGATCCTCCTGCCTCAGCCTCTCGTGCTGGGGTCACAGATGGGCACCACCTCACCCGACAAGTGAAGTATTTTAAAGCATTGAATAGAATCGCTCTCAGGCTGCCCCGCTGGCTCTTCGGTGAGTTTGTCTAACTAGAGCTCCTCCCCTCCTGCTCCTCCTGCTCCTCCTCAGCGGTCGCTTGCTCTGGTGTGTGGCATCACTGGCCGAGTGCTGTGTGTCCTGCCCTCTCTCCTGCTGCCCCAGCGCCCTGCAGTGGTCCTCACCCCGCCCTCACCCAGCATGCTGAGGCAGGAGGGCTGCGTCCAGCCACCTGGAATGCTGCTGGCCCTGGACGAGGGGGCCTCTGAGTCCGGGAGGGAGGACGTGGCAGTAGCTCAGGTCGGGGCTGAAGGGCAGGCACCCCTGCAGGCGAAGCATGTCCTCCTGTCCTTGGGCCACCTACTGCTTGCCAGGTCTCAGCGAGAGCTGGGCCCAAGCGGGATGAAGCTGCCACTGCCTGTCCAGGTCACATCGGCGCAGAGGCCGTGCTCCGTCCTCAGGATGAAGTTTTTGTTAATTACAGTGAACAGCAGCAACGAGCAGGGGCGTCGGGGGATCTGCTGCTCCAGGGAACCCGGGTGACCCCCGACTCCTCTCCCCAGACTGGAGTGCTGCTGAGCGGCACTGGACGGGAGGTGGAGTTGTGCGAGTACCCAGGCCGTGCCTGGACGCTGGGACCCTGGCTCTGCCCTCAGCAGGCAGGAATAAAGCACAGGGTTGTCTGGGAGGCCCGGCTATGCCACGGCCTGGCTCTGTGATGACACCCAGGGGATGGGGCTGTGTTTTCTTAGATGATTTTATTGACCCTCAGAGAAAACCCTGCTGAAAGCTGCTAAGCACCCCTCGTGCATCTGTGCCAGGGAGAGGGCTGGGCCTAGCCTGGGGCAGAGCCCTGGTAAAGCCCACGAGAGGCCCTGGGCTCAATCCCTGGCACAGTGACAAACAAAACAACAAAGACGTCCCACGGAGCTAGTTGTCCTAGCTGCGTATGAAACTTGCTGACCTCCCTGAGGACGTCAAACAGCACGTAACGCTTGAAGCCACAGACTCTAAAAAGCAGATCCACCAGATTGCTCTGTTAGAAAATGAATGTGATAAGTAGGCATGGTGGTTTGTGCCTGTAATCCCAGCACTTCAGGAGGCTGAGGCAGGCACATCACTAGTTCAAGGCCAATCTGGGCAACAGTGAGACCGTGTCAAAGGAGAGAGGAAGGAGGAAAGGAAAGGAGAAAGAAAGGGAACAGTGACGTGTTCTGTCCTTAGCGAGCTCGCTGCTTTCTGTGAAGACTGCAGCTGGGAGAAGAGCAGCCCTGGCTTAGGAACCCACACCCGGCTGTCTGGGTCCTGCGACAGAATTGCTCTCTCTCGTGGCGGAGCTGAGCCGGAGCCCGGAGGCTGGCAGGAGGTGGCCTCCGAGCCTGCCGACCTGGGATGAGGCCTCCTCCAGCCACCCAGGCGGCCCTGACTTTGGATTTTTTGAACAATAGAAATGAAACTTGACAGGGGAGGGAGAACAATGGTGTTTTGACAAATGGAACAAAGATAGAGTTTGGCTGATAATCCAGGGCTGGGAAAGAGCTCGGCCAGGGCTGATGCTGGCGCCTCCCTGCCCAGCAGCAGGCCCGGCGGCCTCGGCACAGGGCGGCCTGGCTGGAGCGGCGGTCTGCGTCTGGCCGTCCCCACAAGGGCGCTTTCTGCAGACTGCACAGAACCAGAGCCGTGCTTGCCTGGCGCCCACGGCCACAGTGCCCTGCGGTCAGGAAGGACCTGGAGAGATTCTGCCCGTTACCGTGGAGATCCGGGCTGCAGGGCCATTCCTGGGAGCCCTTTCCAGACTTGGAGTCTTCTAGGGCGGTGAGGGGGAAGCCGGCACTCATGACTGTGGCCTGTGGGTGACCATGTGTCTGAACGTGAGGGTGCCACAGTTAGCCATGCCGGCCCCGACCCCAGCGGGACGTGACCCCGTGACAAAGGCACGCAGGCCTGTGTGTAATCTTCGTGGCGATGCTGTCGTGGATCCCCTCGAGAGGGGGTGACTGCAGTGCCTGATGCTGCCCACCAGCCCGGACCAGGAACCTAAAGCATCCACACAGTGCTCTTTGGTCACATGGGTTACTGCCTTATTCTTTTGGGGGACCCAGCCCAGGACCCTCAGAGACTGAAAATAATGGAGCCAGATCTGATGGCACACGCCTGTAACCCACACTCTGGGAGGCTGAGGCAGGAGGACCACAAGTTTGAATCCAGCCTGGGCCACTTAGAGACTTAGACTTTGTCTCAAAATAAAAAATAAAAATAGATTGGGAATGTAGCCCTGGGTTCAAATTACCAGCACCACTACCACCAGAAACCAAGATTTTCAGCAGATTTCCGTGTTAAGTCAGGGCAGCGCTCCCCTGTGATGGACACCTTGTTAGCCCGTGTGTACCCGACCAGCATTCCTTACTCACGAATTGAACATTTGCACATGCGTGCCGCTCACACCCGTGGGTCAGGGCAGGTTCCGCACCCCGATGGGCTCCCATGCCCTGTGCCAGGTGGGGGGGCAGCCTCCCGAGGACACTGAGTCCTGGTCCTGCCCACACGGGTGTGCCACACAGGTGGGTCACTGGGGACAGTGACACCGTGATGAGTGTGCCGGCTGACGCCCTGACACAGCAGAGCTAAGCTCCGCTCGCCTCCCGCTTCCCACTGCCACCCTTTGCTTTGCTTCCACAATGTGGCAACACCGAAACCAGTGCCAAGCCACATGGTTCCTCCCGAGAGGGAGGAAAGGACTTGTTCGCTCCTCGGCCGCCTGTGTCTTGGTCACACAAAGCAGCCCCTGTCCCTGCGCAGACAGAGGGGTCGTAAAAGGCAGGAAAATAAACAATGTTCAAGCATCTGAATTGATTTTTAAACAATAAATAGCGGGAGCATCTGCAGAAAGGTTTGTTGTCAGCGCTCACGATGGAATTGAGCTGGGGCTGCCGGTGGGAGAGGATGGTCACGGGACGGGACAGCGCTCTAGAAACGGAGGAAGAGGCTGCTCCGGCCCGGGCTTTGTCCCCAGTGAACACAAGGAGGGTGCAGCCCCTGAGGCCCCTGGGCCCCAGCCCTGCCTGCG